GGGATCTGTCGTCCGGGGCGCGCGCGGCTCGAGCGTCTGCCGCTGTGCTCGTCGTCTCTCTGCCTCGAGCCGAGCGGGAAGATGGCGCGGTCCAGGTCTTCTTCCCTTGCGCCGTCGTCGGGGCCCAAGGTTGGCAGAGACATGGCGAAGACACCGTTGGCCGGCCCCCTGCGGGATTTGTCGGACGTCTGCGTGCCACCGGGAGGGCGGTGCTCTGCTCGCCTCGTTGCCTATGATCGGCTGCGCTGGGCGCGCCTCTGCCGAGAGGGAGGTGTCCCGCGTGGGTACGGATGGTCACGTTCGCCCTCGCCTGCCCCCCAGTTTGCCTGTCGCGCGCCCTTTCCGCTCGGACTCGCGCCCCTGCCTCCGCTGATTGCCTGTCGTCCGACAGGGCGCTGGTCTGCAAAGCGCCGTTCGGGTCAAGCCACTCCATCATCCACTCCTGCAGTCTGGGGGCGATGCATCCTCCAGCGTGAGGAGCGTCGACGCGGCCGCCTACGACTCGCGCAAACCTACTGGCGTTACTCGCGATGAGAGCGTCTTGGTAGGAGCGCACTGATTGGCTGGTCCACCGGGCAGCAGCGGTGTCGATTATGCTGGCGTCTTTACCGGCGCCTCGGAAGGCACGCCTCAGTACCCCTCCGCCGTGGTCGGCGGAGGTGTCCCAGATGAATGGTACCAGGATGCGGCTCCATGTCATGCCCGCCGGCACTCGGTCGACGGCCACGAGGCCGCGTATTCTCCTGATCTCATCAATTAAGCCGCCGCTGCGTGCCCTGTCGTCTTAAGGTCGTCGCTTCTGCCGCTGGGTTCGCCCCCGCCGGCAAGGGCTGTCGCGTTGGCGTGGCCGGGGGCAGGGTCAACCTCCACGCTGGTCGCCGCGCCGCCCCCGTTCCGAGGGGGCGCGCGGGCGTCGGGGCCTGCTTTGGCGGTCGTTTGCTCAGACCTCAACCCCCTCGCCACCGCTTCGACGACGCGGCTGCCTACCGGACTGCCCGCTCCCATGCGCGCGTGAATGGTGCGGCAGCATCAGCGGGAACGGGCCTCCGCAGCTCGTCTTCAGGGACTGGTGTGTCAGCGATGGCCTGGTCGAGGTGGCCCCCCCCCCCGGTCTGGGCTGCAAGCCGCGCCGGGTCTGCCCTTTCGACGGCTAAGCCGGCTGCAAGAGTGGCGCGGACCCTACCGCTGGGTCCCATGGGGGGCGCCGGCGCCACCCTGATGCTGGGCCTGGCGATCGCCGGTGGGAACCAGCTGCGCAGCTCTACGTGGGCTGGGCATGCCTTCGTCAGGTCCCGCATGCGCCTGCATGTGTCCAGGGCACATTGGGTAGGAGCAGCGCAGAGCTGCGCCAGCGTCGCCACAGTCGCGCGGAGCCGAGGTTCGCCCCCTAGGCCCCCCCTGCCCAGGATTCGGTGAGTGAGCCACGCGTCTGGGCGCGCGGCCATGTGTCTCCACGCGCCGAGCAGCTCGCCGACGAGCCAGGATGCGGTGTAGTCCACTGGGCCTGGCGCTCGCGGCGTGCACAGGTGCCCCGCGATCGGGGCATGCCGAGATCCTACCCTGGCCAACTGACAAACGAGAGTTCTTGCCCCAGCGCGTCCAACGGGCGGTTGGGTCGCTGAAAGGTGACTGAGGCCAGATCACTGTCAACGATGCTCCAGGGCAGGGCCAGCCGTCGGCAGGCGACGCAGGCGCGCCCCCATCGGCCCCCGTAGCTGCCAAGCCCCGCAAAAGTCGCAGCGGATGGTGGGGCAGCGGAAGTCGCCGAAGAGCAGGCGGTACGCCGCGGTGCTCCAGGGCCATGGGCTGCTTGAGTGATCTCCGCCCTGCACGGATGCACCGGGGATGCCTGGCCCGAAGGTGGCGATTCCTTCTAGCGCAGGTGATGCCCAGGGAACAGGTCCGAAATGTCCGTAATGCTCTAGCGAGAGCACGTCGCCTCCTAGGCACCTGCGCGCACCTCTATCATCCGCCCAGCTCCGTATGTCGCTGTGATTGGGGAGGTGTCTGATATTGTCCCCGTGCTCGTGCGCGATCACTCTGTATGCTCGAGCCCGGGCCTCGTCGTCCAAGGGGCCCTCTGTTCCGTCGGGCCTGCCCGGTCCAGACGCGGCCCTGGTGGCCGCATCGCGCCGCGCTCTGGTCGGGGCGAGAACTGCGTCTGGAACTGGGCTGTCTGGGACAGCCATGCCGAGGTCGCAATAGCGCGCAGCAGCAGCAGCCGTCACGTCGTACTCGAGTCGCGTCTGCTGCAGTTCCATGGGGCTGGTATTGTCGCTGTCGAGTCTCTCCGCGTGGATGAAGGGATCGTGTGCCATTCTGGCGAAGCGGAGAGCGAGGATCTGCGCTGGGTCTGGACGGACTTCCCCCAGCCTGCCCTCGCGTTCCGCACCAGTGATTGACCGGACTAGCCCCGAGAGGTCCACGAGTGTCAGGGCGCTCGCGGTGGCTAGGCGGGTCGGCGCTGGAAGTCCATCGCCAGGGTCGGGAGGCGCTGCCCGCAACGGGGAGTTGGGGTGCGCGCCTGGATGGCCAGGGCGGCGCCGTTTCCAGCTGCGGTGCACCAGCATCTCGAGGTTGTGGCTTTGCCTTTGAGTGCGCTCCGTCCATCTGTTTGTCAGTTCGCACCAGGGGCCTTCAACGCGTTGGTAGCTCCGAAGGATGGCGTCCATGGTGCCTCCCCTGCCTGCGACTCTGGGGTCGGCAACGCGTGGGCCGCTGGCCGGACCATCGCTCTCGCGGTTTTGTCGCCAGCCGGCGCCAGCGTGTCCTGTGGCGTCCATCCACCTTGCGTGGATGTCGGCGCTGAATTGCACCCTTTGTGTGTCCCGCTCAGCGCCGCCTATATATGTCGGGGTCTGCGGGCTCGTCGTAGCCGGCGACCAGTCTGGAGAGGAGTACGGCAGGGGGTCCGCCACTTGGGGGGTCGCAGCCCGCCGGACGAAGGGGGGGCGGGGCCCCTCCCTTTCGAGGGGACTGGAAGTCCAGGAGAGGGGGTGATAGTGGGGAGGGAATGAGGCGGACGATCGAGGAGGCGGCTGCTTTCCGACCTGGGATCGCGGGCGGCTGATCGCGATCGACGGGGGCGGGGGATCCTGCTCGACGCGGGCGCCCTGCCTGTCCTAGTAGCGCCGCGATTGGCGCCCCTGGCTGCTGACGTGCCCAGGCGAGCGCCGCGCTTCTCCGCGTCTGCAGCTAAATGTGCTGGGCTGCGCCACCAGGGCCCTCTACGGTTGGGTTGCCGCACGGGGGGCCTGATGCCACCAGGGCTGCATCTGGGTTGCGAGGCCCGTCGTTCGCTTGCTGCGCTGACTGCCCAAGGTTCCTCGCCGGGCCGACGCCGCCAAGAATCGTTCCCGTTCGGGCCTCTGCTGCTGAAAGCAGCCGCTTCGGAAGAAACGGGGGAAAGCTTCCGCGTCCGTCAAGAGGGGGGCGCCCGCCCGCCGCAATGCTGTCCGATCCAGGCTGCAAGCTTCCAGGAGCTGAGGTGGCCCCACCGCGGGAGCCCGTGCCTTCAAACAGCAGTTCCCCCCCGGGGCAGCTGACGGTCGCTCTTCCCGCGCCCAGTGCCGCGCTACTGGTCGCGGCGTGGCCAGGAGGGGGGGGGGCCCATCGGGGCAGGACCTGCAGCTCTCGGCCCATGCCCAGCGGCGGCCTCCGCCGCCGCGTCGGCGCCGCCAGGATTGATGCTAGCTGGTTCTCTGCTGCTGAAGGCAGCCATTTCGGAGGAAGCGGGGGGGGGGGCCGTCTGTATCCATCGGGGGCGGTCGCCGACCCTCAACATCGCTGTCCGCGCCATGCTGCGCGCTGTCTCGAGCCGCGGGTCCGCCTCCGCTGTCGGCGCCCCCATCGCCGCGGGACGGTTCCCCCCTAGCGCGGCTGAAGGCCGCTCTTTCGTCGTCGAAACGGGCGCAGCTTCCCGCGGCGTCTCCTGGGGGGTGGGGGCTTCCATCGGACCAGGACCCTGACCCCCCGCATCGCCTCCAGTGGCAGCCCTCGTCGCCGCGCCGTCGTGCTGATGGCCCTGCGCAGCCGGGGGGGGCGACATCGCGTGGGGCGTCCGCTCTGCTACGCGCCCCGCCACCGCCGTCTGTTCCGCAGCTGAAGGCAGCATCTTCTGGTCTATCGTGTAAGTCGCTCGCCCGGGTGGCCCCCGGGAGGGCAGGGAGGCACGTCGAGCCGCCACCGCGCATGGTGGGGGCGTGAGCCTCGTCCGCCGCAAGGCTCATCACTCCGTTTCCTCCAGGTCTGAAGGGCCCGTCTTCTTCTCGCAAGGTTTGCAGGCCACTGGCTGCGCCCAGGGGGGCATCGGGGGAACCGCTCTGCGATGCGCCAGGGCTTGGATCTTCTCGGAAGCCGGGAGTGTGTCGCTCGCCTATGGGTGGGCGGTGATCGCTACTCTTGGGGGGCCTCCGGCGGATCCCAAGCAGGGCGCCATCCTCCGCTGCCCCCGCAACTGGGGCACCCAGGTGGAGGTTGACTCGATCGGCGCTGCGCGCGCCGCGAGGGCCAGGCGCCGCATCGGTGGAGTCAGTGGCGTCCTGCTGACTCCAGGCGCTGAGATCGAGATTGGGGTCAGTGCCCCCCGTGATGCCGACGCCTGTGGCGTCGGGGCCATCGTGCTCAGTCCCCCCAGGAGTGAGAGCCACTGGGGGGCCCCGGGGGTGAAAGGGAAGGGTGGGGGAAATAAAGGGAAAGCGCCGCCTTGACTGCCAGGATTGCCAGGATTACCAGGATTGCGACTGAAGGTCACTTCTTCTCCTGCATTTGCCAAGCTTCTACAGTGGAAACCATCGTCTCCTCGGCTGAAGGCCGAATTGTCATTCATCCGTTTCACCTGGAGCTGCGTGATCGATCGGCGGATCCGACACAGGATTGATCGTCATGAGGTCGGTCGGATTTGCTTCAGGGCCTGGCGGCGAGGGTTGTCCAGGAGGGATCTGGGACGGGGCGTTTTCCAGGGGAGAGCTGGCTGCTGCCAGCGCTTGGACCCCCAGGTCCTGCACTAGGCTCATACCCCCGCCCTGCGTTCCACCTGGATGATCGGCGCCACAAGCCTGACCTGGCAGGCTGGTGCTGCGCCTCGCCAGGGACTGCGCCGCGAGCAGCGGTGGGATATGGCCGACCGCGGCCCGAGGGAGGCGGCGCCCGCCCAGCGATGCGTCGGGCGCCCCCCTTGAGCGCGGGAGACTGGTAATCGAATGCCAGGCCCAGGAGACGGTTTGAGCCAAGGGGCTACGGAAAATTGCAGGGATACGCGATGCCATGAACAAGTTTCGTCCTGGTGTTCCACGAAGAGCCACCCTGCATCCATGTGGCCACGGCCTAAGAAACCGTACCGCGAGACCGTGGATATGGATAATTGTGGTTCACACCCGCGTTGGCAGGACCACCTCGAATGGGACGCACAGGGACATACTAATACTAGATGTCCTCGTTGGAGTCGCGCGTCCGACCCGAACATATAATATACCCATATTGTGATATAGCGTTTCGCGAGGGTGTGGCCAGAAAGCGCCCGCCACGACATATATATATATATATATATATATATATACTATAAGAATTATCGGTGCGCGCGTCGCCCCTGGGGGGGGGCGACGCAGATATAGTGTAAGCATGCTGGGGTGACGCCGATCTCATGAACGCTGCGAGCGCGACATCGACGGACCACTGCTCGACCATCGCTGCGTGAATCCGCTCATGGCCAGCCGCTGCTCTTCAGCCCAACATCGCCGCCCGGACACAAGCTGCAACCCCACAAGCCGAAGCCAACAACACGCTCGTGGCATGCCTACGCGCGGCAATCGGATAATGCAGTATCCCGCGGCGGCTGAACTTCCTTTTGCAACCATTTTGGGGGCTCACTCAAAGCACTCAAAGCCGAGAGACATATCCATGCCGCATCGTGGGCACGGTCAGACTTTATAGCAAGTAACAGGCCAGGTCCGAAGTCCAAAACAACAGCCCTCGACCACCAGCCTCACTGCATTGCGCACCGTCCCTACACGAGAATAGTGACAGAACAGATCCTCCAGTGCTGGCCTGACGGCTTGCCAGATAGGGCGCCCAGACTAAAGACTGCTAGATTTAGCCAGATTGGGCAACATGGCCAGCATCTGCACGCGGCTGCCCCTCAGGCGAAAGCGTCTTCATAATAGCTTTCAGTGGTCAGAGCACGATTTGCTGATCACGAGCATGAACTTGCTATCTACCCGGCACCAGTCTGCGAGCATTGAATGGCGTGCACTCAGGCCCCCCCGATCCCCCAAGATTGAGCATTGTCAGAATGATGGGGGCGGAACGGTCATACACCGTCCTGAGACCCGCCAGCGACCCACACGTGACCCATCCGCGCACTACCCGCGGGCGGCTGCGTTCAAGCACAGCAAACAACAAACCAAACACACCAACTAACCAACAGCAACAACAATAGCAGCACCAACAGCCACTTCAACAACAACAAGAACAACAATAACACATCATGTTCAAACTGTTCGTTCGTTTTTTTATCTGCCCGCGGGCCACTCAACACGTATACCCCAAACCCTCGATACCCGCCCCCTTCGTCTTCGAACGTGCCCCCTTGGGGAATATGTCCCTCTTGCCTGCCACGCGCATTTAATGCAGCCCCAAGGCAGGGGAAGAGAGTACAGATGACAAAAATTGACAACGGGGAGGGAAGAGGATGGAGCACGAGAGAGAGTAGCACGAGAGGTGCTATGAGCAGAATACACGTGGCAGAACCAGACGGGCAGATCGGGCGGGTAGACCCTAACGGGCGGGTCGGGAAGGCGGGCAAAGATGGCCAGGTCGAGCAGGCGGGTTGCTGAAGCGTGCGTCCTGCATGAATCGCGAGGAAGTTTCGAACTCCGAAGAGACCCGAAGCAGAATCTCTGATGACTTTGGCCCACGTCAGCGTCGTCGTCGTCGTCGTCGTCGTCGTCCACCTTCAGGGTCGGCGGCACCGGCCGCAAGGCCTCCGCAATAAATCGTCCAGACTTCCAAAGCGAGAGCGTGATTCCTGAGTGTCGGGGGCGCGGCGTCTGAATAGATGGCGAAGAAATCCCACGCGAGAGATTGTGAGGAAATCCCCCGCGAGAGCGCGATTGGGGAAAAAATGTGAAAAAGAAACCAGCGGGACCCGTTGTAAACCGGGGGCTAAGGGCGCATTTTGGTGACCCTCGCTTTCCCTTGTAAAAAACCGCGTGCGACCCCCGGGAAAAAAAACACTTTAATTGAAACATACAATGGTTACGGAAAGGGTATCAACAATTATGATTAACAGCAACAACACCACCAACAACAACATCGTCAACAGCAACGTCAACAACAACGTCAACAACACCGCCAATAACAACGTCAACAACAACACACAACAACAACCATGTTAGAAGGGTCACTCGTATCTTCTCGCTTGCCACTCAGCACATAAATCCTGAAACCTCAATACCCACCCTCTTCGTCTTCGACCGTACCACCTTAGGGGTGTATCCTTCCCACCTGCAGCACATATGACGTGCAGCCCCTAAAATAAAACAAGAAAATAAACGACATATGAAAGGAAGGGGGCAAAGGGCTGGTGGGTTGCTGAAGCGTGCATTTTACATGGGTCGCGGGGGGATCTCGAACGACAGCGAGAAAATGAATTCCAAAGCGAAAGCGTGGTTCCTGAGTGTCGAGGGCGCGGCGTCTGAATACATTGCGAAAAAGTCCCACGCGAGAGCGCGATTCCTGCACAAAATCTGGGGCAGTCCCGCGCGAGAGCGCGCAACTGAAATGCGCTATGACGAAGCAACATGCGGGTCCCGTTGTCGTTTTAATTCGGGGGCCAAGGGGCCAGTTTGATGGCCCCTCGCTTTCCCTGAGGAGATCCTCCACTGAAAGATGCAGTGTGCCCTGGAAGTGGGGGACCAACAACAATCATTCATTCGAAAGCGAGAATTCAACAACAACAACAACAACAACAACAACAACAACAAACCCAACACAAACGACACCAAGACCAACAACAACAACAATATTTCTGATACAGTTCGCTCTTACTTGCCCGCGTGTCATTCAAAACGAGTTCCCCACACCCTCGATACCCGCCCTTTTTTGTCTTCGATCACACCCCCTTGGGGGGGGATTCTTTCTCTTTGCGGGGTGCAGCGGGCTTGGGCAAGCGGGCAAACGTGAACGGGCGGACAATCCTTCGTGGGCGTACATGTGCCCGCCATTGGAATTGATGTGGGCCGCGCAAAAAGAGGAGGGGGAGAACGAGGGAGAGTGGGAGGAAGGGAGCGGGAGCGACGAAGGAAGAGGGAAAACGCCAGGAGAAAAGGAGCGAAGAGGGGGGGCGTTGATTAGAGGCAGAGAGAGAGAGAGAGAGAGAGAGAGAGAGAGAGAGAGAGAGAGACAGTGAGAGAGAGAGAGAGAGAGAGAGACAGATATAGAGAGGAAAAATAAAAGAAAGGGAGAGAGAGAGAGAGAGCAAACAAAACAAGCAACAAAGAACTGTAAGAGCGGTAGAAAGAGAGAGGGAGAGAGAGAGACAAAAAAAAGAGAGAGGGGGAGAGAGAAAGAGAGAGAGAGAGAGAGAAAAAAAAAAACAAAGAAGGAAAGAGGGAAGAAGGAGGCGGGAGAGGGGAAGGAGAAGGGAGGAGGGAGAGGATGGAGAGGGGATAGGGCAGAGAGACATAAGGATGAGGGAAGAGAGGAGGGAGAGAGGAGGGACGAGAGGAGGGAGGAGGAAGGAAGGAGAGGGAGGAGGAGCAGGAAGGTAAAAACGTGAACGTTCGAGGAAGTCCTAGGCGAAAGCGCCGTTCCTGAAGTAATTCTCGGGCGGGAGCCCACGACGGGCGGGCGATCCCCTGACGGGCGGGTCGGGCGGGTGGGACATTCAAGCGGGATGCCTGAGTATGGCGAGAGCGCGATTACTAAGTCAATTGTAACGGCGTCCTTTGCGCAGCGGGTTGCCTGAGCGTCGAAAGCGCGATTTCTGAATAAATTGCATGGAACCACAAGCGACAGCGCAATTTCTTAACGAAGTGAAGGTTTCTCTGGCGGGAGCGGGGTCTTGATTACATTGCAAGGAAATCTGGATTCAATTGTGAGGAAGTCTCAAGCGGGAGCGGTTCTCTTGAAACAAATCTGAGGAAGTCTCAGATGGGAGCGGGGGTCCTGACTAAATTGGGAGGAAGTCACAGGCGGGAGAACCGATCCTGAGTAAATTGTGAGGAAGTCTCAAGAGTGGGGGTCCGGAGTAAATATGAAGGAAGTCTTAAGCGGGAGCCGCTGTTGTTGTAATCCATGGTGCCAGGGGCCCAGTTTGAGCACCAAGACTTTCCCTGTCAAAAAACAGGGTGCGAGCGTCGAGGAACACACTTTGATAGAGAGATAACAGTATGCACCGGTGAGGGTGGATCAAAGAAAAAATTCTTCAGAAATGAGGGTTCAACAAAAAGAACAACAACAACTACAACCAAAACGACAATAACAACAATCAGTTTCAGACTGCTCGCTCTTATCTGATCGCAGGCCACTCAACACGTATGTTCCAAACCCTCGGTGCCCGCCCTCTTCGTCTTGGATCGTCCCCCTTGGGGGTATATCGTCCTTACCTGCCACGTGCAAAAGGCAGGGGAGGAGAGGACGGATGGAACGGTGACGGAGAAGGATGAAGCACGAGAGAAGTTAGAAGGAGGGGGGGGGGGGGCTAGGAGCAGAAAACACGTAGTATAATCAGACGATCAGACCAGGCGGGAAGACCCTAGCGGGAGAGTCGGGCAGGCGGGCCCAGGCGGCCAGGTGACCAGGTGGAGCAGGCGGGTTGCTGCAGTCTGAGTCCTGCATGAATCGCGAGTGAATCTCTAGGGATAGCGCGATGCCCAAGTAAATTGTAAGAGAAACGAAAGGAGAGCGTGATTCCTGAGTGTCGAGGGAGCGGCGTCTGAATACATTGCGAGGAAGTCCCACGCAAGAGCGCGATTCCTGCATAATATCAGAAGACGTCACGCGCGAGACCGAAATGTTGGAATATTTTGTGAAGAAGTCTCAGGCCGGAGCTGTAATTGTGGTAGTTCGGGGCCAGCAGCGCAGTTTGAGCAGGAAGAATTTCCCCTCATGAGAAACGGCGTGCGAGCCCCGAGGGGGGCACTTCAATTGAAAAACAACATGTGCACCAGTGGGGGGGATCAACAAAGATATTCTCCAGGACTGAAAATTCATCTGCAACGACAACCCCAG